GAAAAAAAAAAAAAAAAAGAACTCTCTTTCTACGAGTTCAAGAAAGTGAAATTTCAGCTAAGGGTGCTCCCTTCAGCCAATGCGCTGTGAGCCATGGAATTCGTCGCCGCTTTTTCTGGGTGTGTGATGCACTCAGCCAATGGGCTGGGTCCTCTGAAGGTGGTTGCTGTCAGGTCATTATGATATTTGGCAGTACACACAACTTTGTTTTTTGTTTTTTTTCTGTCGGCCTTTTTGTGCATGCGAAGCACTGTAGCAAGGGGCCTCGCTGCACTACTCTCGAAATGTGCAAAACGACAGTGAATCTTCCACTCGAATATGGAAAGATACACCGCCAATATTTTTGTCTTTTGTGCATGTCGAGAGTAGTGCAGTGAGGCCCAAGGTCACAATATTGCCCCCCCCCAACAAAAGTCTGGAAAACACGATTCTGCTACAGTGATTTTGAAATAAAAGAAAAAGGAACAAATGGTGAAAGTGCGTGGGGACCGGTAGGGTACACAGCCAAAACGTTTTCGCTTTTTCTGAATATGTTCAAAACTCAGACTGCCGCACGATTTCCCCTTGAGTCCATAGATGGCTTGTAGCAATCCAATTCTGTCACACGTGATTGAGAACCATACGTACACGGTATAATACGGTGCTAGTGGCCAGTTACTAGGCTCACATTGATCGCCGGAAGCTGTCAGCCATGATTGCCCTGAAGAGACGGGGCTACCTTCTCATCCCATTCTCACGTCAATACTCCTAGTGCATCCCCTATTCCTACTATCCTACGTCAGTGTGACCAGCACTCAGGACCATTACCCTACCGTCGAGGGGAACTTGGACCGAACAGTAGTGACAGGCACCAGGGCTAGTGACCCAGCCCTGGTGGAAGCATAGTCAAACGAACCTCGTCGCACGGGAACTTCGGATGCCAGGCTCAAGCAATCACCTATTAGCCTCTTAGTAGACCGACTAGTAACTCATGCCCTCTCTTATCATCGAGACGCCTATTATTAGTTGGTCGTGACCTCCTCCCAGCCCTATGGTTATGTATGTGTGAATGTCCGGTATTGTAGGTATGTGCCCGCAGGCTATGTGTATGTGTTTTTTGTAATGTGCGTGGACCCGTAGCAGACGCTGCTTCCCACCATGGAGCATCTGCGAAGTGAATACCAGTGAGAGGTGCTCTGATCACCTCTACCAGTGTCTGTGTAAGCCATGTGTAGGTAGTATGTATAGGAGCCCTAGAAACACCTTGCCTTGACGCAGCGGAGGGGCGAC